CAGCTAGTGCTCTCATGCATGCTTCAGTTTTGCTTGCCTCGAAGCGAGCATAGAAGTGGTTTAGCTCGTCTGGTAGGCTTGTGTCACTGGGCAGCTTGCGGCTGTGCTTCCCTTTGTAGTCTGTAATAGTTTTCAAGCCCTGCCACATCCGACGAGCGTCAGAGCCAGTGTAGTACGATTCAATCTTAGTCCTGTATTGACGCTTTGCCTGTTTGATGGTTCGTCGGAGGGCATAGCGGGATTTCTTATAAGCGTCCGGGTTAGAGTCCCGTTCCTTGAAAGCGGCAGCTCTACCCTTTAGCTCAGTGCGGATGTTTCCTGTAATCCATGGCTTCTGGTTGGGGTATGTACGTACGGTCACTGTGGGGACGACATCATCGATGCACTTATTGATGAAGCCAGTGACTGATGTGGTGTACTCCTCAATGCTGTCTGAAGAATCCCGGAACATGTTCCAGTCTGTGCTAGCAAAACAGTCCTGTAGCTTAGCATCTGCGTCATCTGACCACTTTTTTATTAACCGAGTCACTGGTGCTTCCTGCTTTAGTTTTTGCTTATAAGCAGGAATTAGGAGGATAGAGTTATGGTCAGATTTGCCAAATGGAGGGCAAGGGAGAGCTTTGTATGCGTCTCTGTGTGTGGAGTAAAGGTGGTCTAGAGTTTTTTTCCCTCTGGTTGCACATTTAACATGCTGGTAGAAATTTGGTAGAACAGATTTAAGTTTCCCTGCATTAAAGTCCCCGGCCACTAGGAGCGCTGCATCTGGATGAGCGTTTTCCTGTTGATTTATGGCCTTGTACAACTCATTCAGTGCAATCTTAATGCCAGCATTGGTTTGTGGTGGTAAATAGACAGCTATGAAAAATATAGATGAAAACTCTCTTGGTAAATAGTGTGGTCTACAGCTTATCATAAAATACTCTACCTCAGGCGAGCAAAACCTCGAGACTTCCTTAGTATTTGATTTTGTGCACCAGCTGTTGTTTACAAATATACACAGACCGCCACCCCTTGTCTTACCGGAGTCAGCCATTCTATCCTGCCGATGTAGCGTATAGCCCGCTAGCTGTATGTTATCCATGTCGTCGTTCAGCCACGACTCGGTGAAACATAAGATATTACAGTTTTTAATGTCCCGTTGGTAGGATAACCGTAATCTTAGGTCATCCAATTTGTTATCCAATGATTGAAGATTGGCTAATAGGATTGATGGAAGAGGCAGTTTACTCGCTCGCCATCGGATCCTTACAAGGCACCCCGATCTACGTCCACGATATCTCCGTCTCTTCCTCACGCGAATGACGGGGATTTGTGCCTTGTCGGGTGTCTGTATGATATCCTTCGCGGCCGCCTCGTTGAAGAAAAAATATTCGTCCAATACGAGGTGAGTAATCGCTGTCCTGATATCCAGAAGCTCTTTTTGGCTATGAGAGACGATGGCAGAAACAAAATAAATTACAAATAATGCGGAAAAAACACACATAATAGTACAAATGGTTAGAGGGCTGTAAAACGGCAGCCATCTCCTCCGGCGCTGCTTTCGTCAGCCTTCATTTCTCAGAACAAGAATGGACTGACGAGTTTCAGAAGAAAGTTATTTGTTTCTAGACATTTTGAGCCTGTAATCGAACCCACAATTGCTGTGTCAACGTCTGGGTGAAGTGATGAAACAAACCCCCCCCCCGACGCACGGCTCCAGCCATGCATCGACACCGGCCTCGGGGACAGCCAGGAGGATGTGGAGCAGGGTGAGTCGGATGACGACCATGGAAATCCCTTAACAAGGAGGGGTCGAGGATGTCCCTCCTGGGAACCCAGCTCCGTTCCTCCAGACCGTACCCCTCCCACTCCACGAGATACTGCAGGCCTCCCACCCGACGCCTCGAATCCAGAATGGAACGGACCGAGTACACCGGTGCCCCCTCGATGTCCAATGGGGGCGGAGGAACCTCCCGCACCTCAGACTCCTGGAGTGGACCAGATACCACCGGCCTGAGGAGAGACACATGGAACAAGGGGTTAATACGGTAATCAGGGGGGAGTTGTAACCTATAACAAACCTCGTTCAACCTCCTCAGGACTTTAAAGGGCCCCACAAACCGCTGACCCAGCTTCCGGCAGGGCAGGCGAAGGGGCAGGTTTCGGGTCGAGAGCCAGACCCGGTCCCCCGGTGCATACACCGGAGCCTCACTGCGGTGGCGGTCGGCACTCGCCTTCTGTCTCCTGATAGCCCTTTGCAGGCGTACATGGGCAGCGTTCCATGTCTCCTCCGAGCGGCGAAACCATTCATCCACCGCAGGTGCCTCGATCTGGCTCTGATGCCATGGTGCCAGGACCGGCTGGTAACCTAGTACACACTGAAAGGGAGACAGGTCAGTGGAAGAGTGGCGGAGGGAATTTTGTGCCAAATCTGCATATTCTGAGGGAATGTGCATTGTGGAGACATGGTTTGGACTCTCCACCGTAGTTGCCCCTACACACCTTCCTGAGCACCGAGGTGACCATCCCTTAAGGGCCCTCTGTTGCCACGAAATCCTGGGGTCATGGATGGCTAGCCAGGGAAGCCCCAGCACCACGGGAAATGCAGGAGAATCGATAAGGAAGAGACTCATTCTCTCCTCATGACCCCCCTGCGTCTCCATCCGGAGTGGAACTGTGACCTCGCTAACCATACCCGACCCTAAAGGGCGACTATCTAGGGCACGTATGGGGAAGGGCACATCTACAGGCAATATAGGAATCCCTAATTTATGCGCAACCAGCCTATCCATAAAATTCCTAGCTGCGCCGGAATCTACGAGCGCCTTATGCTGGGAATGTGGGGAAAACCCAGGGAAATTTACATTGACCATCATGTGAGCAACAGGGAGCTCTGTGTGAGTTGGGTGCCTACTCACCTGGGATGGTCCACCAGGGCCCTGCCTGCTGCCTCGATTCCATGAGTGTCCTCTCCTGCACCGGCCCGCAGTGTGTCCTCTGCGGCCACAGTTGGTGCAGGAGACCAACCCCTTTCCGGGTCTCTCCACATCAGCACCTCCAAGCTCCATAGGAGTGGAGTCGGAAGTGCTGGGGGATGGACTGGACGGACCCTGATCCGGACGTCCACGGGTGGCCAACAGGTTATCCAGCCGGATCGATAAATCTACCAGCTGGTCCATGTTTAGATTTGTGTCCCTGCAGGCCAGCTCCCTACGAACGTCCTCCCGTAGACTGCATCGGTAGTGGTCAATCGGGGCCCTCTCATTCCATCCCGCGCTGGCTGCCAGTGTCCTGAAATCCAGGGCGAAGTCCTGTGCACTCCTCCTTCCCTGTCTGAGGTGAAACAGACGCTCCCCCGCCGCTCTCCCCTCCGGCGGATGATCGAATACTGCCCGGAAACGGCGGGTAAAATCCTCGTAACGTACGGACTCAGCGTCTATTCCACCCCACTCCGCGTTGGCCCATTCCAGCACTCTGCCCGACAGACAGGAGATGAGGGCGGACACGCTCTCGTATCCCGAGGGAGCCGGGTGGATGGTTGCCAGGTAGAGCTCCACCTGGAGCAGGAAAACCCTCACACCCGGCAGCTATCCCATCATATTCCCTCGGGAGCGAGAGCCGAATTCCACTGGATCCAGGGTTACATGGTCTAGATGGGGGAGAAATCTGAGGAGGAGGAAGTGTAGGAAACCCACCTCTCTCCCATCGATCCATGGTGTTCACCACTCGATCCATAGCCGAACCTAGAGTCTGCAGCATGGTCGAGTGCTGCTGAATGCATTTTTCCACCGAGGCGCTGGGATTGGACGTGCCTGCTGACTCCATAGGGGGTGCGTGATTCTGTCAATGTCTGGGTGAAGTGGTGAAACGGAATCAGGCGCAGGACACAGAACTGAGAAATGAATGGATTTACTAAAACAAAAGTAAACCAATAACAAACCTCCACGCAGGGAAGAGCAGAACAACAGCTCACCAAATGACGTAAAACAACGGACAATCACGCACAAACCCAGGAGGGAAAACAGAGGTAATTATAGGGAAATAAATAAGCATAATGGGTAACATGTGTGAATAATAAAGACAAGACTAGTGTAACACAGAAACATCGATCGGTGGCATCTAGTACTCCGGTGACAATGAACGCCAAAGCCTGCCCGAGCAAGGAGGAGGGGCAGCCCTCGTCTGTATTCGTGACATGCTGATGCTCCAGATTCTCAACTAGTCTCAAGAAGGCCAAGTTCTATTGCTTCTTTAATCAGCACAACAGTTTTCAGCTGTGGTAACATAATTGCAAAAGGGTTTTTCTAATGATCAATTAGCCTTTTAAAATGATAAACTTGGATTAGCAAACACACGTGCCATTGGAACACAGGACTGATGGTTGCTGATAATGGGCCTCTGTGCGCCTATGTAGATTTTCCCATAAAAAATCAGCCGTTTCCAGCTACAATAGCCATTTACAACATTAACAAGGTCTACACTGATCAATTTGATATTATTTTAATGGACAATATTTTTTAGAATAAGGCTGTAACATAACAAAATGTGAAAAAAGTCAAGGGGGTTGAATACTTTCCGAATACACTGTATGTGGTCATATGAGTGCAACAAGCCCTTGTGCCGAATGGGGGCTATGCTCAATGGGGGTGTTTCTGTGTGTGTTTGTGTGTGTTTGATTGTTTGTCCTTTAATTTGACTCTCTCCTCTTCTAATATTAAGTGTCAATCAAAGTGTGACCTCAACAGTGGCCTTCAGAAGACAGTAGCAGTGGAGTGCTGTGAGGAGTGGTGCATTGATGGAGATAATCAAGAAATAAAGCATAGATAATTAAATGAACAACAGAACGGAAGAAAACGGGACTGGACATTGTACTCCAGAATG